GGGGTTTCAGGGACGCCACAGACTGCATGTCACTGCCCTGCAAAGTGATGGCAGTGGTGGGACCTTCTTTTCTAGGTGTTTTGTCAGTGTTTGACATGTCCACAGTTTAAAGTGCATTTTCTGCTCCAACACCTCATAGGTGCACGTAAAGGGCTCTCGGTGCCCATTAACTGCAAGGTGAAAAATACATTTCCTGGGTTCATACCGTGGCTAGCCATGCTCAAACCTAGATCAATACCGTGTCCATAGCTGAAACACAGTAGAAGGGCAATCTTGTGCCCTAACCCCGCTGGGAGTCCTGTCATTTTTGAGCAGAGAAGTTGAAGGATGCAGAGCCTGGAAGCAGTCTGCTGTAGGTCCAGACTGAAGACAAAGAAGCTGACTTTGGACCGATTGAGTGGGAGACCACTTGAAATTACCACCCAGGATGAATGACAGATTGTTTTCACTGCACAACTTGACCATGTACAAGGCACACTTAAAAAGCCATACAGTGAGAGAGTGTGAGGACAGTCACTTGCATGGATGGAACATTCATATCTATTTGGAATAGTGGCTTTATGTAAGAGATGGTTTTAGAAGTGTTGGAGGGAACATGAGAGCATGGTGAGTATGCCTTCCAGACTCTTCCACAAGATCTACCCAAGGAATGAAAGAAACAGAGTGAGCATGTCATCCTGAAGAGTCAGCCTCAAGCAATGGCCATGAGTTTACAGTTTCTTAGCCTCCCATTTGATCTTCTAACCCATGTAGGTGTGGCATCCATAGGTTTGCCTTGAATCCCATAGTGTTGGAAGGCATTTGCTACAAATGTCCATCATTAAAAAGTGATGTGTTGTTAGATTCCAGGTACTAAGAAAACCTAAGAGAGCCAACTCCAGACTCAGTGTCCAGGCCATCCTTCTCACCTCATAGTGCCATACATGACAGACAGCAGCCTCCCTTCTGTTGACTACAGACTACATCAGGGTATTAAGGAGAGAGACTCCAATGTGACTTGGAGTGATGAGGTGTTCCAATGTTCCAATGATCAGGAGTACCTGATAGAAATTTCTGTGAAGACATATTCCTGTTTAAAGGTCAAATTGTAAACTGGAAGGGTCCCTGGCTCATTCTCCAATCATCTCTACTGCTTCAAGAAGTGTTCTCTGTAGGATGTTTTAAAGAGAATAGGGAGCCTCGTGGCATTCTTCTTTAATATGTTACCTGGGTTCTCCTCACCAGTTAATGAACTGAGAGTCTCAAATGATCTCCATAACCAGTTCCTTCCCCCAACCCTCAAACTTCATTTTAATTACAGCAGTTTGCTAGGAACGCTACAAATATTCCTGGTTTCTTCTGACGGTTGAGAATTAGGCCTTGGAGAATATCTTCTAGATAAGTCCATGATGTGTATGCATTATACCAACCAAGAGAAATGTGAACTTATCTAAGAATTCTAGGGATTTGATCTTATGATAGCTTTTTATCCTTTCATGAAAAGAAGTAACATAGACTTTGCTATTGTGACACTGAGCAGAAGTGGCATAGGTCAGAGCAACTGTTTGTTCCATGTCTGGGCCCGTATTGTTCATGGTGAATTCATTTCAAGGCAACATGGAGAGACTAAAGTTATTCTCTGAGTTTCTCATGAACAGTTGTTTCCAGAACAAGGTGCTTCCGCATGTACTTCTTTGGAAGTCTAATGCATGGTTCACTCTGAAGTGACTTCTGCTTCTAACCTTTAGTCTGGCAAAAACTTTCACGACATTACCATTGTTCTACACTCAGACATTTTAGGCAGAAGAACTCACAGCCAGTTTTTATGAACAAGGAAAGGTGAAATTATACTAATTTCCTTGTTTCAGACAGGAAAATCATGTGTCCCTATAATTTTACAAATCAAAAGAATATTCCACAAAGTTCTGTGTTTGTGCTTGTCTTTGACATGAGGCCACACGCGTCCAGGATGTGTGGGTCTCAGACTAGAAAAACTTGGTCTTTAGAATGTAAAATCTTTCTAATTTTCCTATTTCATTAATTGCCATTATTTGACTGGTTCAGAACTGGTCTATTTATCTACACAGCTTTTCTCAGCCCTGTCCCAATTTTCCTTTCCTGTTAGCTTAATCTAAGATTCTACTTTCAAAGCTTAGAAATATAAGCTTTGCTATGCAGCCACACCAAATCAGTACTACCCACAACAAGCCAATGTCAATCCAGACAAGACCTTCAACTTTACTGAGTTTCTTGTCTTTAAGCAGGGAGGGGGCGCTCAGCTTTTAGGAGAATGTGCTACTCTTTCAGAGGACCCTGGTTCAGTTCCAAGCTCCTGCATCTGGCAGCTCACAGCTGCCTGTAACTGCAGATTCAAGGGGTTCAGATGCACTCTTCTGGCCCCTGTAGGAGCTGCACACATGGTGCACACACTCACACTCAGGCAATCACATTAAATAAATATTTTTAAAAGAGAGAGTTTACCATTATCCCGAAGTCTAATCCATTCATTTAATCACCTGACACATTATTGAGCTACTTTGTGCTAAAAGTTAAACATAGGAGCCACATTCACAAAAATAACAGTTTCTGACTTTTTGAAATTAGTAATCTACTATTGTGGGAGAAGAGCTGCTCTCTGGGATAACACAGGAATGCAGAAAAAGTGCTATTCTAGTCTGTGTTACTGCTGAAGTCATTATATGAACCTGCTCCTGACCTCCAGTCTCAAGTTTCAATTCTTCATTCACCAGGCAGTCTTGCTTTCCAAATATAGCTTAGATCTTTTTAACACATTCAACTTCCTTTGTTGTGGTTTTCTATAAATCCCAAATTATATTGAAAGATCATAAAATCTAATGGTCACTTGGGTTTGGGAGTTAAAAAGAAATTGAGGTTACCCCAAGGGCCTTCCTCAGGCCCTTGACTTAAGGACATGGAGAATAGTATAACCATTAACTGAAAGAGGAAGCTTGGGATGAGCCCACTTAGAAGGGGAAAGCATAGATGTTCTGATAGTAATCTCTTGTAGAGAGTGAGGGCACTCTAGAAAATGTACATAGAAGCATCTATCAGACTGTTGAAAACATGACATTTGAAAGACGGAGACAAGAATTGAGAATCAGGCTAGCAAGATGTCTCAGCAGGTAAAGATGCTTGCCACCCAATCCTCACAAACTGAATTCAGTCTTCAAGACTGAAGAGAACCCTCTCCCACAAAAGAGAACCTGCTCCCACAGAAAAGCATCCTCTGACTGCCACACATGTATGAGTGGTACACATGCACACATTCATGTAAAAATGTAATGAAGATTTTTGAAGAATTTAGGAATTGATGATAAAATGATAATTTAAGCATTGAAGACAAATGTTGTGAATAAGTAGGACAGTCTACACTAAAAATAAAAATGCTTGTTCCAGGCCTGGAGAGATGGCTTAAACAGGAAAGAGCGTGTCATGCCAGAATCAGGACCTGAATTTGATCCCCAGATTCAACATTAAAAACAGACAAAAAAAATGGCATGGTGCAGCACACACGTGTGATTCAAGAGTTGGGGGACAGAGACAAACAGATTCCTGCACTCAGTGGTCAGCCAGCCTAGCCTACTTGATGGGTTCCAGGTCAAGGAGTGAGCCTGTCTCATAAAGAAAAGGTGGACTATGCCAGAGAAACAACAGCCAAGGATGTCCTCTGGCCTCTACATGCATGTATAACCCACACACCACACATGTCTGTTCACATGCTCAGGAACACACATGCACAGGCATGTGCTACTCAGTCTGGGTTGTCAGGTTCTACCTAATAAAACAGATTTCTAAAAGAGACCACAGAAGCTGGGCAGTGGTGGTGCACCCCTTTAATCCCAGCACTCAGGAGGCAGAGGCAAGTGGATCTCTGTGAGTTCAAGGCCAGCCTGATCTACAGAGCAAGTTCCAGAACAGCCAGGGCTACACAACACAGAGAACCCTGTCTTGAAAAACAAGCAACAACAACAACAACAAATCTCTAAAAGAGACTGTCCTGATAGGTGGAAATCTTCCCAGTGCCCATTTGCATCCATTGGACACAATCCCGAGCACCTCAGGTGTCTGTCAGCTCTTCCTCTCAGTGGGGCTTCCACTTCCACAAGCGAAGACATCCTTCTTTGGACCTCATCCCTCATGTCATCAGGTCCTGTGATGTTCGCTCTGTGGTGTTGTCTACAGATTTTCTTGTCTCTACAGTAATGACAAACTTATTGATAGGTGGCATATAACTAATCCTGTAAATGCCTCACACTCCCCAATCAGTGAGATAATTCAGTGAGAACCTCTACTACAGCCTTCATTCAAAGCTCATATCCTTGCCTTTAAAAAGTGTATGTTTCTTCATGACCAAATAAAAGTTAACAGGCATTTAATTAATTATAGGAATAGATTGTGAATAGATTAAATTTTTTTTAAAAAAACTATACTTTAAGAAGTGCAGGTAAAAATGACAGTTATTGGACCTAAATTTCATATGTATTTAAGGCCCATAACTTTCACTGACAGAGTGGACTAGCTCAATAATTAATGCCCTGGGAATTCTCCAGGTAGACTGTGATTTGGATATTTTATGGGCTATTATGTCAAAGATCCATGTCAGACAAGATGCTTACACAATGCTCCACAGAAGAATTATTGTCACAAGCAAACTGGGGTTGGGTTTTTTTTTTTAATGTACTTTAAGTAAACCTAGGGAAAATATGATATCCTCCTTAATTGCCTCGTGTTTTAAGTGACAGGTGCCTTCATTTTTATTTACCAGTAGAGTGTATCTTTGGATCTGACTATTATGAATGTTTAAACAGCTCTTGCCTTTGGAGTGTACGCTGCAGTATTCTGCAACTTGTGTTTGGTGCAGCTCCGGTGCTCCTCTAAGTCATCCCTCACCTCTCAGGGATAACCTTGTATGTGTGCATGGTTCTTAAGGGATGGAGTCGTTGACCCTCCTACATGATGCGTTTTTGCTTCTTTCTTTCTCTCTTTCTCCCTCTTCCCAGGGATCCTGGTTCCCCAGATTCCGGTGGAGTACAGCATCTTACTCAATGGTGGAGGTGTGATGCTCTTGGCCTTCTCTGTTGGACGCCGTCAATCTGCCCATCTGAAACACTTGACTCCATTCACACAGTATGAAATAAGGATACAAGCCTGCCAAAATGGTGACTGGCTTTTAGATGCTTGACCCGGGCTTGTTTGAAAAAGTATCTCCGAATATTTTTTTTTCTTAAAAAAGAACAGTTTCTCAGTTGGAATACAAAGGATAATGTTAAATTTCCAATTTGTGGTAGACTATTTGCCCAGAAAATGCATCTTGGCATCCAATGAAGCATTAGACATCTTTGCACATTACATCATGAATATTTAAATACGTTAAAATGGTGGCTTTGTAAAGCTTTGCTTTATAAGGCCTTTTAAAAGAAAACAGCTCACACAAAGAGGCCATTGATAATATAAAACAAAATGGATTCTAGAATAAATTTCATAGAAAATGTAAAATAAATTTATTTGAATTTTTTCAGGAGAGAGAAGTTATTTAAGAGTTGAATTGTACACCAAGCATGGTGGCACACATCTTTAATCCCAGCACTCAGGAGGCAGAGGCAGGCAGAGCTCTGAGTTCAGAGCCAGCCTGGTCTACAGAGCAAGTTCCAGGACAGCCAGGTCTATACAGAGAAATCTTGCCTTGAAAAAAAAACAAACAAAAAAGGGGGGTTGAATTGTATACAAATGAATCCATACATTTGAAGGTGTTGCCTCAGACCCAGTGCCATGAGTTGAGGTCTGTGTCTTAGGCTGTGGCCTGGTGGAGCATCAACTATGCTATCTTAGACAGAATGTGACCAGCCCTTCTCTCTCGTGGAGGATTGAAGAGACAGAAATCAATATTCAGAAGAGAAAGACATGGAAATCAGAGAGCATATTACACATGCATTATTTAGCTCTACTATACATTTAAAACAGATATAGAAGGCCCGACATGGTGGCACATGCCTTTAAATTCCCAACACTTGGAGGCTGAAACAGGTAGATCTCTGTGAGTTCAAGGCCAGCTGGTCTACTAGCAAGTTCCAGGACAGCCAGGGCTACGTAGAAGGACCATGTCTCAAAGAAACAAATGGATGTATAAGCAAGACGGTACCATGTGTCCATAGCCTGTATATGATAAATAATACCCGGCTGCAAAGTGAGATATAATTCACACAGTATAATTCATACGGGAGTCTCACCACCTTGGAGAAACCTACCAGTCTCCTCTCCACATGAGGTTGGCTGGACTCCCACATGCCTGGTTCCATTCCCCTCGAGTTGGCTCAGGTTTCAAAGCTGCTCTTGATGTTTCATATCAGAAACCCCAGTCCATTTGTTGACTCCACCCTACAAACTATGGTTTGTTTAAAGGGTTTTGCTTTCCCTTACCAGCATGGAAATAGCTTCCAGGGGAGGCTCTCTTCTTGATTTAGGGGCAAAATCGACTTCTGATCCCCACGTCACTGGAGCTGCACTATGGATGTCCTATAGACTTAGAGTCACTTGTTCAGTGTCTGTGTGTTTGAACAGTAGTTAGTTTAATACATTAAATACTATTAATACTGAATGAACCATCTAAAAATGATAATGTGTTTCAATGTTCAAATCCCATGGGTACCCTAGGACCAAACTGAACTATGTATGCAATGTATTCAGACAGATTATTTTCCTGACACTGTGACACTCCTGTATGGCTGTGTGACGCTTTGCCTTGCTGGCCAAAGTACTAAAGCCCTGGGTTGCTCTTTTAGGAGGCTGTGGAGTTAGCAGTAGGATGTATGTCAGAACGCACGAAGCAGCCCCAGTGGGTCTCGCATCCCCTCTTCTGAAGGCTCTGGGGTCATCTCGCATAGAGGTTGAGTGGATGCCACCTCAAAGGCCCAATGGAGTCATCTCCGGCTATGTCATTCACAGGTGAGGGGTTCGTGGTTGGGGAATGCTTGTCATCCTGGGGCTACAGAATCGCATGCACACTCCACTTTGCACGGGGACAGAGGCTCATTCATGGTCTAGGGAGCACTTTCCGGTGAGGACGGAGGTGGAAGCTGGGAACTCTGACACACTAGCGAGGACCAGGGCCCACTGCAACTGTGTCGCCTTTGGTTGTGGTCTGTTGGACGGCCGAGACCCTAGAGCCCTTGGTTTTTATCTTTGTGACGCCTCCAAGTGTTGCTGTCTTTGTGTCTCAGGTTGTCCAGTTTTTTCTTTGCTTCTTTATGTTTATGCAGTTCTAGGAATCAAAACCAGGGCCTCATGTGTGCTAAGCAGGTGTTCTGCCCTCCCATTCAACTTTACTGCCTCTCCTCTTGGTTGGCCGACGGTATATTTACAGGTTTTTCTCCTTGTAAGAATGTGCAGAATTTATTACATGGATCTCCCTAATGTAAAGGAAATAAAAGCAGAAGAAGAGGGCATGGAGAAAGCATGAAGGAAACGATTGAGGAAAGATGGGGTGGGATGGAGGGAAGGATGAGTGAGCCAAGGAAAAGAGATGGGAAAGAGGGAGGAAGTAGGGGGGAGAGAGAGGGAGGGAGAGAGAGGGAGAGAGGGAGAGAGAGAGAGAGAGAGAGAGAGAGAGAGAGAGAGAGAGAGAGAGAGGAAGCTAAAAGCAAAGCAGGTCAGCAGCAAGGACCCTCTGTGCTCGGCATGTACAGCAGAAAACATAGGTGTGGCAGGCAAGTCGGTTTGCCCATGAAATCCCGCTCCAAAAGCCACATCCACACAGTCCCATGGGTGCAGCACATTTCCACTGCGCCTCACCCGCGGCTCTTGGGCCTTGTTCGCCTCTCCAGCACTCCCCACTGTTCTGTGCTTGGTCCATGTAACATGCACCTTCTGTGATAGTTACTATTGACATTGGAACCCTTTCATTCTGACCCTGCAGTGACCAACTACATGTCTATAGGAGGGGAAAAAATGTGAAAGGAGAAACTGCAGCTGCATTTCTGGTTCTGTACATGGCATTACCTAAAATGAGCAAGCCAACTTCTCAGCAAACATTAATGTGAAGAATAATATTTCTGATTCAAATACACGTGGATATATCAAAATGACTGATACAAGTTTGCATTTTACACTAAGCGCTTTATTGTAGAGTCTAAGGTATCCATCCTCCAGAAATAGTTTTCTTTCAATTACTTAATGCTAATTGCATGAGGAAGGTGCATCAAATCCCTGTTGTGAATGAAGGGGAAGAGGTACCTGCTAGAGAGCAGGATGTGGCCTCATTCTGTTGGTTTTGTAAACAAAGCTCATGATTACAGTGACTATTCCATGGCAGCTCCAGCAAAAGGAAAAACAGGAAATAGAGTGCAGAAAGGCCGCTTCAATGAAAAATACTGTAAATTGAATTTGACAGCATTTGATGGCATTTGATTATTCTAGTCACAGCCAAACAATGATATAAAGAGTAATATGAAACAGAATGTGTTACTGCCTAGCAGACTCCAACGCAATAAACCTTCCCCCAGTGTGACACAATCACTTCACCATCATAATTGTAGCCTGTTTGATACCTCTGAGCACAGTGGAAGGGCACTGACTGACATAGATACATTTTGTTTTTTATTTAAAGTGAAATGAAAATGGCGCACTGGGGCTCCAGATACAATCGTTATATTCACCTACCTAGGCATGAATCACTTGGCAGTTATTCCAGCTGAAGTTTAAATGTGCTTAGACAACAACAATATCAAATTTTTCTTAGATAGCTGCAGGAAAAAAAAATCAGAAATTTGTAAGGACAGAAATAGCATGTAGACACACAGTTCTTTTTCATCCTGTGACTACGCAGAGCCCCTTACATGGCTACAGCTCAAGCCTGCAGTACGTCTGAGGAGGTTATGCCGTATAATTCCTACTCCATCATTGACCTGCTTCCCTCTATCACCAAAGGAAATGCGTTCGGCTCAAACCAAAGACAAGGCTCGGCCTATGCAGACATTCTCATTAAATTATGGGAAGCCAACATGCTGACTTCATTTTGAAAATGCTTCTGGCAATTCTCACTGATCCACCAAATTACTTTCCCCCTCTGTAATTCTCTTCCATTGTTTTAATATTGCTTCTACATATCATGCTGTTTAAAAAAAAAAAAAGTGCCTCCCTTAATAAGGAGGTAAGATGCTTATGACCCCAAAACCAAAACAGAACAGTCTGTGTGTCGCTTACTTTTCTCATCACTGGGATAGAGCACCCAGCACAAGTGACTCAAAAGAAAGGAATTATTTCAGCTCACATTTTCATGCTGGGGAAGGCATGACATTGCTCAAGGTAGACAAAGTGGCATCTATCCACAGCAGTGGGGACGTGAGGTGGCTTGTTCATGTCTCAATGGATCAGGAGGCAGAGAGCACAGGCAAGAAGCATAAGCTGAGCCCACCCATAGCCCTCAACCCTACTCCTAAGCCTGGACCTCTGCCAGCTCTGCCCCGAATCTCAAAGGTTCCCCAGCCTCTCAAAACAGCGCCACCAATTGGAGGTCAGGTGTCCCAACACCCGAGTCTGTGAGGAGTGTTCCACACTTAAAACATTAAAACCTGTTAGTGACAGGCTGTACACATGAATGTCCCACCTTCACTTTCCAGTTACATAGGCTGCTTTCTTGACTACATGCAAGCCATAATGGGAGTTTTCTGTAAGCATTTTCATAAATAACAAGGAAGTCTAAGTTAGTGTTTTATAACTTGTCTATTGTCAAGATCCAGGCAAAGCCAGCTTGAAGGTCCACATCTTCTTCAAAGAGAGGTTGGTTTGGATAAAGAGTTTTCAGTCTGCCTACTTCATCAGGTCAATAGCCTTGTAAATGGTAAAATTCTTACCCCTTCCATGTACAAAATCCACCCAAGCTGCTTTCCCAGGAATTGACAAAACACTTGGCAAAATTACCTCCTCCTCTAGGAGTGTCCACATAAATAGAGATGAAATTACATAGGGCTTATGGTCTCATGAATCTTCCCTTTTAAATGAATAATAATATTTGAACTGTCTATGTACATTAGAAGTCAAAAGTGCATACAAAGACACTTTAGCACTGTGAAAAAAGAAAAAAAATGAAACTTCCTTCTGGATATTCAGAAAGACTTTGGAGGATAAAATCTAAGATCATTTAGAAGGTGTGGATCAATGTTTCCAAGAAGTAAACTGAAGTGATTCTGTAGAATGGATAAATAAGCTGAGAAAACTGAGGACAGGCGCCTGATAAATCAAAGATGTGTGAGAAGGTGGATACAGATCTGGGCATTGATGTAGATGATAAATAGCTAGATATATACATATATGTATATCCATACCAAGGGACACGGAGCTCCATAAACCTTCATTCTTCTTACTAATGATCTCATTACTATATAATATAAGGTAAACTAAACAAAAAGTGTGAGGTGTACCATAATGTGAGACACACAAATATTCATCAGAAAATTTAGAGATGTATTACTTGTCATTGCTGTGAAAAACAAACCACAACCAAAAGTGATTTATGGACAAAAGGGTTCCTTTGAGCTTATGTTCCAGAGGGGAAGTCCATAATATCCAGGGAGGTGTGACCGCGGGAGACAAGCAAGAAGCTGAGAGATCACATCTTTAACTTCAAAACAAAGTAGGGGGAGAGCTGGGAGTGGGGGAGGCTCTAAATTCTCAAAGCCACCCCAGTGACGCACTCCCTTCTGCAGGATATACCTGCTTAAGGTTCCATAGCCTTCCCAGACAGTGACAGCAACCGGGGATACCAAGTGTTCAAATAGCTGAGCCTAGAGGGGAATTTTTTCTCATTCAAACCACCAGAAGAGAGTAGTTCTATTTTTAGAATATTCATGGGAGGTTCCATGATGTCAATGTTATTAAGACTGGTCCTTCCAGAATAAGACCTTGGTGATGATTGAAATTTTAAAAGAAATGTGCTTGATGGGGAAGAGTGTTTAACCACAGCAGTCCAGAAGGCTGAATAACTCATTATAGCTTCCATATAACCTAGCTAAGACATACATAATCACTATCAGTAGATGTAAACACCAATCGTTTTAACATACTAACATTAATGTGTTATGTTTTCTCTTACATAAAAAATAATCATGGGGGCTGGAGAGATGACTCAGGGGTTAAGAGCACTGGCTGCTCTTCCAGAGGATCCAGGTTCAATTCCCAGCACCCACATGGCAGCTCACAATTGTGTGTAACTCCAGTTCCAGGGGACTTGCCACCCTCACACAGACGTACATGCAAGCAAAACACCAATACACATAAAAATAAATAAATATTTTTAAAAAATCATACTTGTCATACTTTTCTACTGGAGGTTTCATGTTTATTAGTCTATAATCGTGTAGTAAATCTTTTTGTGGTCATGTTAAAAATAACAAATTGATTATTTCTTCCAACTCTTCTATGGCTCTTCTTATTTCTAAGAATGGAATTAATTTTGTTAGCAGAAGTAAGATAAGAATTCCAGGTCTCCATTAAAAAAGAGTTTCTCAGCCTGGCACAGTGGCACATGCCTTTAATCCCAGCACTCGGGAGGCAGAGGAATGACGGATCTCTGAGTTTGAGGTCAGCCTAGTCTACAGAGTAAGTTCCAGGACAACCAGGGTTACACAATGAGAGCCTGTCTGGAAAAAAAATACAAAAAGAAAAGAGTTTCCCCACAGTATTTAATGAGTTATTAATCTGGTATGCCACCTATTCAAAATTCATTATCTAGTCCATTTTAGAAACACACACACACACACACACACACACACACACACACACACACACACACACATACACTGAAGTAGATAGAACTTAACTAAGCTGGCAGTACATGCATTTTAGGTGTCAACAGCATAGGAAAATTTTCCAACACTAAAGGCCAGAGCTGAAGCTGCTGTCATGTTTGGCGAGGGTCTAAACCACTCATGAAGAAACTTAGACCATCTGAATGTTGGACTTTTTTAATGGAAGACTTTAACAGGCCAGGCTGACCAGTTTAGGTGTTGTTGTGAGCAAGATGCTCACAGTAGCCGCTACTAAAGGAAACAAGGAGGAAGAGTCAGTTCCCCTTCACCGTGATTTCCTGGTCACCCTCTGGTGCCCAATGTTGACAGAACCCAACATCAAGCTCCTTGACAAAGCAGAAATGGAGATCTCAATGTCTAGGCTATGTAATAACTATATTTAAAATATTTAGAGAAGGACATTTAATACACAAAATGAGAACAAGCAGCTGTTAAAACTCTGTACTTCCCAGATTCGTATTTATCTTTTTCCTCCACATAGTTAGGCAGCATTCAGTCACCTATCTTTGAAATAGAATTGTCCAAATAAGCTCTAAGAAGTGAACAGCAGCGTGGCTGTCCAGAGAGAGCTGAACGTGTAATCTATAAACAAGTGCTATTCTGGAGAAACAGGACCATTCCCATGAACTGTTGATGTCCAGTAACTAAGAAAAGAATATGTGTTTTCCTCAACCTCTTCTCTGGGTGTGTTCAGACACAAAGAGAGCCTGACTTTTAACACCACACTTGGGATGCAACATATTATTCTATATTAATTTATTAAGTAATCAATAGTAAGAAATACTTCACCAGGCTACATCCTTTCACTGTTTTGGTGAATAATCTTGAAGTTACCATCATATTGCATCTCTGAAATAGTGTAGATCATAAAATTCCCCTTCAGGCAGTGGTTTTTTTTATGTCAGTTTTATGAAAACCATGGCTACATCTCAATTTGGTAATTCATGAGATATTTAATAAAAATTAATTGAATTGTCATAGTGAATCTGGAGTAAGACAAAATAGAAACTGTAGTTTTCCCATAGGATTTTGGTTGGTTGGCATCATATCCTAGCAGATAGTTTTAGGATGCTGATGGGAGTCCTTAGCTGTGAGCCCTGGGTTCCCATAGAGCTGATCCCTCTCCATCCTACTCCCAGTACTGAAGACATGCAGCAGGCATCAGGGCCAAACTCGACACAGTTACATGGAGGACAGAATCGGGCCGTGCGTGGGAGCAGGTCATAATGAAGCTGCCGGTCGGGGAGGTGGACCTGTGATGCCTCCCTTGTTTTGCCATGGCTCCTCCTTACAGCACAGTGATTGTTCAGCTGGAGAAGCATCAGGTTCCCAGCACCGAAGAGTCTCCATCCCCTGCTCCTGTTTTGTGAACGATGCTGTCATTTGCTTTGTCTTAATCACCCTTTGAGTTTTGATGGGGCCGGTTAATCTGATATGGCAGCATGTGTGTTCCCCAGCGTCTAAAGAGGGTGTTAATTAAAGACTTCTAACAGCCTGGAAAATATTGATTTATTCAACACTCTCTTCTCCACCAGAGACTGAGCTAGAAGAGGGGAGCCCCACTTCATACCATCTTCTTCCTCAGCCTAGCTCTCTACCCCAATAAGATATAAGACTTGATAAAGATGAAGTCAAAAGGCAGAAAAAATATACCACACCTTTTAGCCACTCATTTGAAAAGTAAATGCTTGAAACCTTCATGGGCTTAGACACGGGGAATATGGAGACGTAAAAAGCACAGTTCCCTTCCCATCAGATATGTGCTGTGATTTCACACCCGGATGAGAAAAGTCTGTTCCCAACTCAACATCAGATATTTAGGAGCATCTTAACAACTGACAATTCCCTTCCTCTTGCTTCGGTGTTTAATGTCTTATTATATTCAATGCCACAAGAAAATGCATAGATCTGAGTTTTGATAGCGACAAAACCTCAAACATAAGAGGACTGAGTAATCTTATTCTCTAGCAGTTAAAAGAATATTTGAGAACATTCTAGACTGTGATAGAATATTCTGGACTGTAATATGTTTTAGGAAACATCAAAAAGGAAATTGTCCTTCGCCCTTTGCCCTTTAAAAGTCTCTAGCTCATATTCCCGATCCTGTGCTTACCATGTGGTTTTCATTCATTTGCATACAGCTCTGTTTCATGTACTCAACTCTGCTCCTTTGTGTGCAGTAGGTTCATTCATCTCTGTATTCCTGCTCCTGAGTCAAAGATGGTGTTTATGTGTGAGTCTTGATGTATGATACCAAGTGTACAAGAAAATAATAATGAGAATGTCTCCTGCTTTGAGGGTTATGTTGTAATTAATAGAAATTTTAAATGGAGAGAAAATAAGTGGCACATAAGAAACACATAGAAATGCTCTCCAACCGCACTGCAGGCAAATGCAAGATACATCATTTTAGGTAAACCTTGGGAAGAACTGTGGGTTCTCTGGCCAGTGGCTCTCCCACAGTAGGCCAGCCGGAGTGTTTGAATATAGTGATCCCCGACATCCCACAGCAACAGGAGGGTCAGCCTCACTATATATATGCTTTGCAGTCACCAAAGTCATAAGTTACCAGCCTGTGAGCCAGAGAGAGTCATAGGGCCGAGGTCACGAAGAGTGTGAGAGGATCCCACACTGGAGCCTACTGCAGTCCACCTACCACAGAAGGGATAGAATTCCCAATACACCAGCCTCCAGCAATCGCATATCCTATTTCTGTGGTTCTGTGTTCAAAGGTAGAACCTGATCAGATCGCTTGTGCACACACCAATGATGTATTCCTCACTTGGAGGAATAAAATAATGCTCCACGCACTCGAAAAGACACAGGAATTCTAACACGATGCTGATTGTTCTTTGCTGAGCTAGTCCCCTTGCACACATGGTCTTCCCAGCTCAGCTAACCCAAGCCAGGTATTTCCTCACAGACATGCCCAGAGGTTTGTCTCCTAGGTGGTCCTAGATCTTGTCACCCTGACAATATTAACCATCGCGGTAATGTGTTGCCTTTTTTATGTATTTTATATTTACATGTTTCCTATGACCTGTATGCACTTTTAGAAACACACACACACACACACACACACACACACACACACACACACACACACACACACACACAAGGTATCAACTACATTAAGAAAATGTAGCATATTCCTGATAAGGAAAAATTATCAGGAAAAAACCCACTCATCTTGATAGCCAAGCTGTAGAGTACTGGACCCTAACCACGAGTCTCTTCCTCTGTCTCTAAAGCTGCTGGGAAGCGTCCAGGTGTCACAGGACTTGCTTGGTTCTCTTGCAGACGTCCTGCTGACACAAAAGAGGAGGCTCGCCTCTTTGTCTGGTCGGAAGGCCCTCTTGAGTTCACTGATGATGCAGACACCCTGCAGCCTTTTACACTGTATGAGTACCGAGTCAGAGCCTGGAACTCCAAGGGTGCAGTGGACAGCCTGTGGTCATCAGTACAGACCTTGGAGGCCCCACCTCAAGGCCTCTCAGCACCATGGGCCCAAGCCACCAGTGCTCATTCAGTGCAGATGAACTGGACAGAGCCTGAGGCCTCCAATGGCGTTATCTTCCAGTACCACGTGATCTACCAAGAGCGACCAGAGGAGGCAACCCCTGAGAGCTCTACTGTGCATGCTTTCACAGTGATGGTAAGAACTTAGAATTAATTACCAACCCTTGGATTATCTGGTTAACAGGTTTCATTTCCTTATGTGCTTGTCATTTTCCTCACTTGGAGCATAAATAGATGAATTTTTCATATTTGTAAAACAGCAATATGGTCCTAGGGATAAGATAATAAATTGAGTATGAGGAGCATTTGGGGACCAGTTGGCAGATCAGAACTGATTTGTATTATTACAAGCAAATAAATAAGTCTCTTCACCTGATTACCACTTTACAGACCCACTAAATGGGAATAATTCAGTAATTCCCTCAATATTGCATAGGCATGATGTCAAGATAAGAACATGTGATTCTCTAGTTTGTCAAAGAATTAATTATATATATATATATATATATATATATATATATATATATATATATATATATATATATATACACACACACACACACACATATGTTTATAGCAATCAGAGAGGAAGGCAATAATATTCCATGTGCTAGGAAAGACACATGTATTCTAACAGGGGATTGATTATTCTTTTCTGAGCTATTCCCTCTGATGGATAAAATAATTTCATTAGCTCACCTAGTGTTTCCTGAGAGTTTTCCTTATGCCCACAATTTCCTTATGTTCTATGAGACATGCAGAAATGTGATTGTTTTTGTCTCAGAAACATTTGTATAATATTGTAGAAATGAGAATTATAGGTTAAAAAAATAAGAAAACCTGTAGTGCCCACTGCCATAGGATTTGGATCCCGAACCCCAACACACTTGCCAGTCATGAGTCACAAGAACGGGTATCATAGAGAAAGCATTGCACAGGAAATGCCCTGGGAAGTCAACAGGAAACTCTCAGGCTGGAGAACCTGCATGGAGAAGATGAAATGTTAGGGCTTTAGGAGGCAAATAGTCATGGTTTTCAAGACATCATTACATGTGAATGACCCTTACAAGTTAAGATGAACAGGGTGGCATTGAGTATTACTTTAAAAACTAAAGCCATGTGCCCGTGACTCAAGCCTAGGAAGTCCAATGCACAAGTTAAGGAGTTCGTGTTTATCAAGATGGACGGTTAGTACCGGGCCAGTGTGTTGTAATGTAGTTCCACAAGAATCTGTGTAAGTGAATGGTAGATTTTAACACTTGCCCGCCGGGCTCATGTTTATTTTTTTCATGAGTCAACAGTAAGCAGCATTTGAGAGAAGACATTGCTGTGCAAGTCTTCATCCTATTTCAGAACTGATACTTTGTTTTCCCGTTTGACATTCTTTTCCTATCAGCATTTTTTCCATTTCATTTCTAGATACTTCTTCATAAGCATTCCGAGCCATGGTCTTGTGTAGAAATGATGCATTTTTGCTAGTAATTCGATCTGTAGGGAAATCTGCTATATTTAAACTGTATCCTTAGAACTTATATTCTGATCTTTCACCTGTAATTTTGATTAAAATACTGAAATACTATGATAAATATATTTTTATCAAAGGAACCAGTAACAATGATCAAACCTTTGTTCTTTCAAAATATAACTTACAAGAATATATGACTAATTACATATTCTCTCCAGTTCTATTGGAATTCCTTTGGGAGAATATCTTGTGAGTCATCGCTTAGCTGGTTTTATTATAACACACGTGATTTAAGGATCTGATGAATGCAAGAACTCTGCCCTTTATTTGTTTTGTTGGGTTCTATCTATGCCAACCTAACATGTTCCTAGAAGAGAAGCCAGCCTGTGGAGGTGGCAGGGCTTAGTGCATGGATCTTCCTAACACTGTCGCCAAAATTTTCATCCTGACAGACCCATCATGCACACTTTTTCTATTTTTCTAAAATTTATTATTCTTTGTGATGCCGAAGAGACTAGCCAGAATAATCAAGAAATTATAACATTCCTACAACTTACTTTTGAATGTGTGTATTCATCCCAAGTGGCCTTCCAGCATTCTGGATTATTGACTCTGAGAGCAAGAGCCCTCAGAGATTTGGTTGGATTCATCCATAAATCTCCCTCTGAATTTTTCAAGCAATCAAGGCCATGTTCCATAAGGCCAGGATTCAGACATTCTGGTCACCAGGTCAAATCCCCAGGGCACTAGTCACTGTGACCTCACATGGATGGATACTTTGAGATCATCAGGCAAATAGACCATGGTCTGTGAATCTCATCCACTCCTACATTCCCAATGTAGAGGCTGCATTTAATGTTAAAATTGAAGGAAGTTCTATCATATACCCAATGTTCTTTCCTATCCCCTGCAGAGAGGAATGTCCCTTTACCCACTGTCCTGGTTAGCTTTCTGTTGCTGTGATAAACACTTGACCAAAGGCTACTTGTGGAGGAAATGGCTTATTTGGCTTACACATCCCTTCCACAGTCCATCATGAAGGGACATTGGGGCAGGAACTGAAGCAGGGGAATGCTACTTACCAGCTTGCTCTCCATGGCTCGCTCAGCTTGCTTCCTTTTACAACCCAGGGCCAGTTAGTTTGCTGCTCAGGAGTGGCACCCTCTCTCACAATAGGCTGGAAGAAAATGATGGACAGACTTACGTACAGGACATTCTGATGGAGGCATTTCCTCCATTGCCTCTTCCCTGATCACCCTGCCTTGTGTCAAGTTAACAAAAAAAAAAAAAAAAAAAAAAAAAAAAAAAAAAAAAAAAAAAAAAACCTAACCATCACACTATCCAAATATCTTCTTCTATAATTTAAGCCTATTCTTTTGTTTTCTGAACAACATGATTTCCCTGTATTGCTGCAAAAAAATCTTTAGGGTCAAGCACATTCCATCAACCTGGATAAACAGTCATTGAGAACTATGTTCTTTATCAGTACTCACTGCTGGAGCTTACTATAAGATTGAGCCCAGCCGTGGTTGGGCAGGAAGGTGGGCGATCAAGTGTGAGGCACAAGTTATTAGTTGGGCACTAAGGTTTCTAAGCCCCTCACCACTGGATGTCTTCTATCTGGGCGTACAGAAAGGACTTCCTTTCAATCCTGCTCCAAGACTCCTCCTAGCTACTCTACTCTAGCTAGAATTTCCCCCAGCAAAGAGGTGAAATTTACTGTAAATGAAACACTGAGTGTAAAGACACAATTTCAGAAAAACAAATCAACCCAGACTTGTGAAAGACATCCCTATGTCACTCATTTAGTCCTTTGATTATTGGGGTCCCATATCTACTCAAGGGACCACCAGAATATCACCCATGTTGTAAGCACATCCCTAGCTCGTCCAGGTCCCCCCAGAGTTGTTCAGAGGCAGGTGGAGGTTGCTTGGAGAGCCACATGAAGCAGGTGCTATGGAGCCATGAATCCCGCTGGAGGTGGCAGTGGATGGAGAACAGGCGGCAGGGTCCCTCCATGGGGGTGAGGAGTGGATGTGTTGGCAGGAGCAGCAGCAGCAGCAGAGGCAGCAGGGGAGGAGAAATGGGAGTGTGTGGCTTTTAATGCATCACTAGTTTCTCTCCCAACATCATGAAAAGCCATCTCTCTTTGAGTCTAAGTAGGTCTCTCTGAGATGAAAAGACCAAATTCTTAGGGTATCTTCAGATCTTTGTAGCCTTCGTTACCGAAAACAGGCTTCAGTTACAAGACCTTAAACTTCCTTCCCCCATTAGCTCTGTGATGGATGGTGCAGTGTCAGGAGAGAGGCTGAATTTAGCCTCGCTTGGCATCCAAGAGTTCCATGGTGCTACTTGCAGGAACACTCCTGGCGAGGCTGGCAAGGCTGCCACCACCACTCAGGTCTGTTTGCTTTTGCTCACTGGCACCTGCCATCACATTGGCACCTGCCATCGTACTGGCAGAAATAACTTGGGATTTAAAGGCAAAGGTGTTTTGCCTGCTAGTTAGTGCTCTAAGCATGTCCCTGCTTGCCCTACAGGATTATGAAACACCAAGCCCAAAACATAGCTTTGCCCAGTACCCTGAAAGATAGATGATATCTCACTCCATATGTAAAGGCAGGCATAAGGAGCTGACGGACTACACAAATGATTTGGGTCACTAAGAGTTGGCTTCTCATCTGGGCATAAAATCCAAAATTACAACACTAGTCTCTACCTTCTGGTTGCCAAACTCCTTTTCCCAATGTCAAGGAGGAGGCATTTAAAACTTCCTCATGTGCTTGGCCCAGATCTCTTTACCATTAAATAGATTTGTAGCCAAAACACATTATGAGGTACTTCATAATTGCCCTATTATGGAAGGTTTGTGAGTAAATTGATGAACTCATTCTAATCCCATTTTCGTTTTGGCTTATTATAATGTAAAATATTATTGCTTCTTACGTAGGATCTTAAATTAGTTGTAGCTGTGACAGTGTGATGGTTCTCGGCCTTTCTTCTGCAGACCCATTCAAAAGGTGGCAGGAATGCTCTGTAAGATGTTGTATTCTAGAAGGATCTCTTTCTAGTGTGACAATGATACAAAAAAAAAATGGCAGCTCCCCAAGACTCCCTCGCATGTCTGTCCTATAGCAGATTTTACACATTTTATAATGTAACTAGGTCGCTCTTTCTATTATATGAAATGTCTTAGGGTTTCTATTCCTGTGAAGAGACACCATGACCATGACTCCTCTTACAAAGGAAAACAGTTAATTGGGGCTGGCTTACAGTTCAGAGGTTTAGTCCATTATCATCATGGCGGGTGGCATGCAGGCAGACATGGTGCTGGAGAAAGAGCTGAGAGTTCTACACCTTGATCAGCAGGCAGCAGACGGAGTCTGTATCCACACTGGGCATGGCTTGAGCATATATGAGACCTCAAAGCCTGCCTCCACAGTGACGCACTTCCTCCAACAAGGCCACACCCCCTGATAGTCCCTGTGGGCCAAGCATTCACACATATGAGTCTATGGGGGCCGTACCTATTCAAACCACCACATGAAAGATGCAGAGCGTGGATGGGGGAGTATCACATCGAACACTGAATGCTTGTTGTAAGGATATATTTGATTTGATGTTGCTTTTTCATTCCCTAGCTTTGCATGATCTCCCTTCAACTGCTTCTC